TGTAAGTAAGACGAGCCACTTCTTGCTGACGCTCCCTGTAGACCAGGTCTCATGCTGTGGCTCCTGGCTGGGGAGCAGGAGGTGTGGTCTGGAGGACGTGGCTAAAACAGAAATGGAATAGGATGGACAGCCTCTCCCTGGACCCTGCCCATCGTTTGTCAGGCCCTGAGAATACCCACTATAACCGTTCCACTCAGCCTGCTCTTGTTCGGAGCAAAGTCCATCTTTCACACACTGTCTAAAGGAGATAAGGAATCACTTTCAAATGTTTCAGGGGTAGCTTAGGTTAGAGATAAGAGCATGTTTCTGATCACGAAATGTTCATGGAACCAACAAAGCAATGGTCAGTGCTACCCTCGTATCATGGCGTGACCCCCAAAGGGGATCGTCCACAAGCCAGGGGATCACTTGCTCTACTGACGTGTGCCTGGAGTGGGGGGGCAGCTGGCTGAAGGTCTTAATCTTTAAGTAGCCATGTTCCTCTCAGGCAGGCCAGTAACTTTCAGAATCCCGCAGGGAATGCCAATGCGGTCAGCGCAAGGAGGGCAGCGCCAGCCAGCAGAAGAGCAGCCAGGAGCCTGGTGGAGTGGCCGTGCAGGCCCGGCGTCCAAGGGGTCCCGACGGCACGTGTCCTCATGGGCGCCAGTGTGCGGTCCCACTGGCTCAGGATGGCGTTTCTCGCTCCTGGCCACTTGCCGGGCCCCACCAGCCTGAAGTGGTAAGGGCTACAGGGGCCAAAGAGGAACTGCAGGGCCAGCCTGGGATCTGTGAGCAACAACCATGGGAGGCTGGGCTTGGCCCCGATGAAGGAGGTGAGCTCGTCCATGTAACTGATGTAGTCCGTCTGGATGGTCTCGCTGCTGCCAAACCTGCAGGTGGGGGTGGGGTGGGGACATCACCGGGGGAATGGAGGCCCCAGGAGCCCGGAGACACCCAGCGCCTACCTATCAGTGGGAGCAACACAGCCCCTTGGGTTGGGAGGGACCAAACCTCATTTCTCCTGAACTTTGTAGTTTTCTCCAAAGAATTTGCAGACGCACCTCATTTGGGCATGCCCCAACCCTGAGACAAGCATTTCACCCCCGCCTATAAGGGGGCACATGGCCCCTCGCTCAGGTCACGGCCGCTCAGTAAATCACTGACAGAGGTGGACCCGGAGGCTGGTGGTCCTGACCGCCCCTCATTTCCCGAGTCATTTCATCCGCCTGCTTGAGGGCACCCTCCTGCATCTCAGAGGATTATTGGGCTAGAAAGCAGAAGTCCGTGCCCATGCTCCCAAGCTCTGCCGACTCCTAATCTCCTGGGGTCTCCTTTCTGAGACATCTGCAGGGGGCAGGGAGCAGAGCAGGACTTGGCACCACGTCAGGGGCGAGGGAGATCCTTGATAGACGGGTGTCGCGTGGTGAGTCTAGCTCATAGCTGTCACCCTAAGGACCTCACTCAGGACCACTTAAGAGGAAAACAGTTCCCAGTGTTCGCAAATTCTGATTTTCCCAAGTAAATCCTAGACCCCCTTTATATAGGTGCTCTTACCATTTGAACTTTTTCTCCATTGTTTTATCAATATTGGCCATCATGTCTTTCACAGAAGGCAAAGTGCAAGTTCCTAAACAAGAGAAAGACATAATAGTTAATTAAGTGATTTTTCTTCTTACTAATGAGTGGTGAATCACATCAGTGCCCCCAATGCTTCTGTCCCTGTCCAGCAAAGTGAAGTCTTGAGCAAATGGGCAGGTGGTCATTTTGAGACAAACACCCTCGTTCCCAGGCTTCTCAGAACTGACCCCGGTCACAGTAATTTAGGATCATCTCCCACGCAGCGCTTTCTCTTTGTACCTTTGCTCTTAAACCAGCTATTAAATACTTAAAATCAGCTTCGGGGATTACATTCTAATCTCTCAGCTGTATGTTTAAGAATGTTATCTAATTATAGCCTAAGGTTAATTGGCAATGCTTTTTTAAGATTTAAGGGAAAAGGATTTGTAGGAAATTAATCTGTTTTGCTGGAAAAGGGCATTCTAGCAGATGATACAGAATTCAGTGAAGCTCTGAGTGTCTCCCCGGAGCACCGGCAGCTGGATGGGGTTGTGATCCAGCTCGAGTCCCCAGGACCCAGGGGCCCCATGATTCCAGCTTATTCTGGCACAGATTTACAGAGTTCTCTGAAACTCAGACCAAAACATGTGTTTGTGCCCAGGGAGATTTCAAAGCTCGGGTGGTTTCTCTGGCAGTTGCCTTGGACAAAGCCGAACAGCCCAGACCCGGTTGCTCAAGTCCTATAGCAACTCGCCTGACCCCTGTTCCCATGTCCTCATGGGCAGGGTCACCGGAGCGGCGCCTGAAGAGGGGGGCCCTCTTGCAGAGCTTGGAGCCCATCCTGTCCTTGAGCAGATCGGGAGGAAGGTTGTGCTCAGCAGACCCCAGCTGCAGCCGCTGGCTGCTCATCTTGGCATCCCGGACTCCAAACTGGGCTGCTTGTTTGACTCCCCTTCCCCCTGGGGCCAAACCTGAGCCTTGTACATCGATTCTCCACTGGTTGGGTCTCCCCCTCATCTCCTTTCTTCAGAGCCCGGCTTGTATCCTTTGTCCTCACAGAGTTAGTGTCCTGCACTCTAATGCCAGCTCCCCCAGCCTGAACCCTGAGCTCACGCTTCCTGGGGGGAATTTTCTGCCATCACCTTCCTGGCTGGTACCTGAATGAGCAACATCATCCCACAACACTTCTCTGCCTGGCGACAGAGTGAAAGGGACTTGGGGGACCCTGACAGGACGGGCTGCAGTGATGTGGTGAGAGGTGGCTCAGGATGCACAACCTCCCGTACAAAGGAAGGGCATTTAAATCCAGCAAGTCAGGTGGCACTGGAAGCCTGAGATGGGGCTTCAGAGGAAGCAGCCCTGCTAGGCTCCCTCACCAGGAAGGTTTATACCTGAGGGGTCAACCACATTTGCCATTAAACCTTGGCATCTCTGTGTGCCTCATCTGGGCCTGTGTTCCAACGTGGGCATGGGCTGAGCCCAGTGCCCGTCGCTCAAGGTGCTGCCTGCCTTCCTGTCCGACCCCAGCCAGGCTTGCTGTCTCCTCCTTCCTTCTAAATGTAGGGACTCAGCATCCTCTGTGTTACTGGTGGGTCACTGCACCCCTACGCCCTTCCTCCCAAGATCTCCTCCGTGTCCTCATCCGACACAGGGCAGGCGGGACGGAGCAGGGGCCCCACTGCCTTTCCTGTGCTCTAAGGTTTTCGAGGTTGTTTGGATATTGGCTTGGAAACAAGCCTTTCAAGCAACATCATACTGTTGAGTTTTGGTCATAATTTTATGAAGTTGTCATGCACTTAAGACCAGTGGCTCTGGTGTTCCCAGGTTTAATGAACGATCTGGGGTAACCGACAGTTCCATGAGGGACCCCTCAAATTATATCTTGTATGGTTGCGTGCAATAGTCCAATGGAGTATGTTCTTAAATGCTTATAAAACATGTACCAAAAATATGGAATTATAGAATCTCAGAACCGGGTGGACCAGGAGGTGTCCCTTGTCAGGATCACGGTCTCCACAAGGACTCAAAGGCACTCTCATTGGCCTCTGTCTCACCACCAACGAGCTCTCTGTCCACTTACCCTTTATTACCTTCGCAGCCCAGCGAGCCTGCAGGTCAGCGGTGGGGATGGCAGCCCCAAGGGACTGGACAAAGCCAATCACAGCCAAGGTGGGCTTCTCCATGTTGGGGGGGAAGACGCCTTTGAACAAGGTGACCTCGTTGTTCCCGCTCTTGATGATGGAGTCATCGAGGAACGGATAGGCAAAATCGTAGCCCGTGGCAAAGATGACGGCGTCGATGCCCTCGAACACAGTGCTGTCCTCGAACACGGCGGCCGTCTCTGTGAACTCCCTCACGTTGGGCCTGACGGACACAGCGCCACACAGGATGCGGGACGGCAGCTCGTCGTTGAAGACGGGCTCCTTCCTCAGGGCTCTGCATGGGAAACAGAGGCAGCCGCTAGAACGGCATCTCCTCTTTGTTTTGTTGGTCCATAAAAGTTAATGAGCATTAATAGTTATTTATAATAATTAACATAATTAATGGTATTCATTAATGAGGAAGGAGAAAACCTCCGTGGTTTTTTTTCTGTGTCATGGAGCATCAACAGAATGGTCAAAGGACAGAACTGTTGTAAGGCGACGTTGTGAAGTGACAGGAGTCGCCCTTTGCTGACGCCCCTGTTTCCTGTGATCTTTCCTTTGTCCACAGATGTCTCCCCAAACTCAAGAACAGGAACGCAGACCCTATTGCCTGTTGAAGCTTATAACAGGAAAACCCTACAGCCAGAATGCCTGGATATTGAAACTTTATCCTTTGTGGCTTATTAACTGTCAACCTTGGTCAAATTAAGGTTTCTTAGTTTCCAGTGCCCCATCTTTCTCATCTGGAGTAGCAGTGATGTCATACATACGTCAGGCCACTGGGAGACTACACAGTATAAAGAATTTGGCATAGCCTGGCATATAGACAGCACCTAAATGTAAGCCACTATCTCGATACAGGGCACTCAGGAGGGGTCCTTGTGATGGAAGGGGGTCCAAAGGAGGAAGGAGGCCACAGGTGGGAAGGTGGCAGCCCAGGGGGAGTCCCAAAGGTGAGGCTCCAGTCAGGGGGGTGGGCACCGGGGGTGTACGTGAGGCCCCGAGAGGGCCGAGCGGCCTGGCTCTGCACTCGGTGGGAGACGAAGGAGAGCTTCGATTACGTCTCACGCAGTAACGTCTCTGGTGAGTGCAGACACATCCCGACACAGGCGTGATGCGAATACTGCTGAAGGAAAGGCTTTGCCCTTGTGTGACCAGGGAGCCGAGACAGAGAAAGCAGAGTCCGTGGGGCAGGAACCCGATGGGACAGCTGGAGTGGATGGGATCCTGGTCAGAGGGAAGCTGGAATCAACTGGGCCAGGGCCTGCCGTTCATCTTAAACCAGCCGCACGGGCTTCGGCCACCCCCGTGGCTCCCATTGCTGCCCTTGGGCTTCTGCTCAGGCTGCCCGCAGCTCCGAGCCCCTCTCCAGGGATCCACTGTCTTCTCATTTCACCCACTGCTGCAGAGCGTCTGACAGCCGATGCTGCCTCCTTGACATGCTGTCATCCTCTTCTTTCCAGGTCGTCTGTCTCAGTGCCTTTCCTGCCTGCCTGGGTTCTCTGTCTCAGGGTCCCTGCTGAATCCTTCTGACCGCTAAGCACGCCGTGTCCTAGGACTCACTTCTCCCTTCTGTCTCCTCCACCTCCACTCATTCTCCAAGAGGCGCCATCTAGGTGCATTCCTGAGGCGCCATCTGCGTCTGACAAGCCCACCTTTTCCACGCACAGCTCGAATCTGTCTTCTGTCCCACTGCTGCTCAGCCTTCCCCTAGGTGGATGTCAGAGAAGCATGTCCAGTGTGACAGGTGTAAACGTCAGCTCCTCCTGGGGCTTTCCCCAGCTCAGTAAATGTCATTGCCGTCCTTGACCCGTGCTCACATCAGAAGTCTGAAAGGCACCCTTGACCCCTTCCTGCTCCCATGTCTGTTATCTGATCTAACAGGAGAACCTGTCTGGGTTTACCTTCAAACTACACTCCGAATCTGACCACCTGTGCATGAGCGCTGCTAGTGATCCAAGCCCAAGCCACCATCCCTCTCACCTGGATTTTGACAACAGCCTTTTAACCTGCTCTGGCTTCCACCCCCACCCAGGAAAGCCGAGTCCTAGCCATGGCCCACAGGCCCAGTGCCACCTGGCTAGTTTGAGGTCTGGGTGCATCTACTCTGTGCCCCCCTCTTTGCTCCAAAGAGAAGCCCAATGTGGTGGCTGGACATGCCCAGCATGTCCCTGTGGAGGTGATGTCCTCGCTGCTTCCAGCTGGACTGGCCTCATGGCCATCTCCTCACGTCTGTCAGAGGTCTGCTTAAAGCCTGCTTCTAGCTGAGACCTCTGAGGCACTGTTTGGTCACCCTGGCCACACTCCCCAGTTCCCTTGCCTGCCTTATTGTCTCCTACACCACGCGCACTGCACCATCTCCTGCCATTTGTCTGACATCTGTTTCCCACTGCTGGGAGGTGGGTTCCGTGAGGACAGGGTTTCTGCACGTTCACTGCTATGTGCACAGGGGCAATAACAGAGGCAGAAGTGCTTAGTAAACGTTTGCTGCATTAATGAGTTGACTTTGATGTAAGCAGTTTGAAAAGGGGTTTCCCCTGCATGGCGGAGTAACTTCTTATCATGTTCCTAGCTTGGGGGCCATCAGAGAAGACAGTGAGGGCAGCAGGGGCTGCAGACCCCAGGCCAGGTAGCGGTGGGCACAGCTCGGGGGAGACACGCCTTGCTCTCTTCAGTGAGTGACAGTGCAGGGCTGGGGCTGCAAGGGCCCTGGGCCTGTAGAGTGTGGCGTGTTCTGAACTGCGTCTGCTTCCTGGCTGTGGGACTTCAGCAAAGTTCTAGGTCCTGGAACCTCCATTTTCTCTTCTCTGAAACAGGGACTGTGATGCAGCCCACCTCCTTGTGTGGCGAAGGTAGAAAGAGATGATGCAAGTCAGGGGCTTGCTGAGCAAGCCTGGGGTGTTTGCAGCGTGACCGCTACTGTGGCTTCCTCGGGGATCCACCCCTGAGGTTATGTTACTTCAGCTGTGCAAACTGGCCAGGACGTTGGTGGAGGGGGAAGCCGGCCCTAATCTCAGTGGCTCTTTGTCCTCTGAAATGTGAGACGTGACTGCTTCATAAAACTATTTCGATTGTTTGTGGGATTTGTTAGGGTGTCGGTGCTGCAATAAAAACCAGCGGGTGTATCACCTTCAACCCTGATTCTTACCCATTCAGAGGCATCAGGCCGTAGTTCTCATGCTTGAATCTCGCGTTCATTTGCTTCACATACAGCCAGTTGGAGATGGCCGTGGGTAACGTGTTCTTGAGGAAGGTTTCAAATCGGGTGATGGACATCATGTCCCACGGGTAGCCATCGTCCCAGACCCGGCTCATCACCCAGGAGCCACTTCTGGAACTGATGATGACCTTAAAGAACACAAGGTCAGCCACGAAGCTGTGCCCATTGTGGGCGCCCCCGGCCCACCTTCAGGTCTGCTGATGGGCTGGTGGTAGGAAGGCCCAGCCTCTCAGCCCAACTTGGGACTATCCCAGCTTCAGGGGGAGGAAAAGGGGGCTTCCTGACCTTCGCTGAGGGGTATGCATCCAGAGGGCACCCCACTCCCCGCACTGCAGCCTGCAGCTGAGGCCAGCCAGCCCCGCCCGCCCTACCAGGCAAACCCTCCTGCTGTAATGGAATCCTCCCAGGGTCGGTGGCCGATGGGTGAACTCCACACTTATTTCCCTAGTGCTTCTCTGTGGTCATCGTCTCAAACAGCTGCTGTGACCCCCAAAGAGGCATTCCTGCCTAAACGCCCCCCACCACCTGAAGAGAAGAATCTTGGAATCAGAGACACGGCCCAAAGCATCCTGGGTCCTCACTGACGAGGCGATGGGGCAAGTCCCTTTACCTTCCGGAATGTTCCGCTCCTTACCTGTAAAAGGGAGATAGCTGGCACCCACCACACCAGCTCCGAGTGAGGACCAACTCGGCGTGAAAGCCCTCGCGATGCGGGCGACAGGCCCCTTCCCCTTCCATCCTGCTGGTCCCCAACGCAGTAGCTCTTCAGAGGTTTTTTTTTTTAATTTTAAGAATTTTTACATATCCAAGTATTTCTTACAAGGGAAGCTAAGCAAGTAAAACAAGCTTGGGAGGACCGGAGGTCTCTGAAACTGGCCTTTCCCACATGTACCACAAAGAGTGAACCTCCGTGAACCTCGGTCTCATCCTGCCCATCCTTAGCTCAAGAAGCTGAAACAATTAACCCTGATTTATGGACAAATCCAAGCTCTCTGGCCCGTGGCTCAGCTCCTCAAAGCACATGACGTGACCTTGCTTTCCTGTCTCAGCTCCTACGGCTGCTCTGCCCCCTGGGTCAGATCTGGCGTCCAGTCCGTCAGTGGCTCAGGGATTCAGTTTCCTCCACGACTTCCAAGGGGACAGTTGCCGTCCCAGCCCTCTGCTATCTTTTCTGTAAAATTAACAAAACCTAGACTGCTTTCGTCCTACGATCAGAGGAGCACATTCGGGTGCTGGCACTCGAGCACTGTGACGTGTCACACAGGCTGTGATTAGGAGCCCCATTCCACCGGACCATCCACACACTCAAACCCGCCTCTGCACGTCGCCGGGGCCGTTGTCCCTAAGGTGGCCCTTTGCTGCCCCATCAGCCCCGGGACCTGTGCACACCCCTCCAGGACAGCGTCAGGTCCACAGCCTTATGTGGCCCACCAGCCTGTGACAGCTTCTGTTCCTGCATCACTTCCGCCCTGTATCCAGGGGCAGCTTTGCACTGTTACACTTCTGGCTTAACTCTTGAAGTTACATTGAATTTATTTCATATTGATGGATTACTTTCTCAGATAGGTTTTAAGTTCCCTGAAGAGAGAGGCCGTGTACATGGTCTCACCTCTGTGCCGTCTAGTGTGGTGCTTTGAGCAGATAAATGGGACTGTGTTTTCACACCATGGCCCTGTCACCATCTCCTGGCTTCCCCGACAGAGACGCTGCTTCACAGCCTTCCTGAATCCTCTTCTGATGCTGAGCCCCTGTCTCGACTTCTAGCTCCCACCTTAACATCGTCAGCTGGAGAGCACCTTCCCTCCCTGCTGACGGAGGCCACCTGTCACCCACCCTCGGAGCCTGCACTTCCATCTTTACCAGCACTTGCATGGTTAGAAGTGGACAGCTGCGCGTTTGCTTACTAACGCCTGTTTCCTACACCGGCCTCAGCTCCACAGCCAGCGTCCTGTGTGTTTGCTGGCCACTCTCCCTGCAGCCCCTGGAGGCAGGCCGGGTCCGGCACACAGCAGGCCCCCGGAGGCGGTGGAGGAAGGCTGGGTGCGTGCACGCGTGAGCACGGAACTTCACACTGCAGGGATCATGTTCAGACGCCTTAACCCCTCACCTCACTCAGAAAGCACATCTATTTTTATATTTTACTGATAAGAAAACTGACACCTGGATGGACTGAAGGACGTTCTCAAGAGTGTCAGAGTCATAACCTTGACCCTGAGCCCTAAATTCTCAGAGGAACCAGTCAGACACATTAGCTTCCGCATGTCCTAAAGGAGGTCGTTGAAAGGCAGCCTCACTCCTTTACCACCCCAGGCTGCTCGAAGCCCCCTGTTGCTGGGGAAGTTGAGGTAGGAAACACTATCTAGCCTTTGCACAACATAGCTCCCCGCCCACCACCATTGCATCTTCCAAATGGTCCCTGTTTCTGTCCCTTTAGCAGACTGAGCAGTGGTACCTGCTCCGCCGTGTGGCTGAGCTCCGTGGCAATGTCACAGCCAGAGTTCCCCAGGCCGATCACCAGGACTCGCTTCCCCGCGAAAGCTCCTGGCTCCTTGTAGTCCCGGCTATGGAAGCAACTCCCTTTAAAATGCTTTATTCCTGAGTGAAAAGTGGGAAACATGTGAATCGATTTGATTTCCATTAAAAAGTGCTGCAGCTGAGCTTGTGGTGCATGTAGCCAAGTAATATGGATCCTAATACTCTGGCTGGGTAGCTATCATAGAGCATATTTAATTTAATCTGCCCTTTATATCAGAAAAAGACATTATCAAGATACCCACTCACGCCAGATGGGTGGACGGCAGCCTCAACCTCGGCCTTACCAGGAAAGGACTCTTTTGGCAAGCTGGGGTACACGTGATGTCCAGAGCAGACCATCAGAGCATCGAAGACGGCTGATCCTTTCTTCCCATCCTTCTCCGTGGTAACATCCCACCGGCCGGTGACGGAGAAATCATGGCACTTGGTTATACTGGATACAAGTGTCTAAGAGAGATGCAGACAGCAGCCCTCTTTTCTATCCTAACCTGCAGATTTGGGAACCACCTAATCGAACACTATGAAAAACGCCCTTAAGAGAAGCTCAGGAAAAATACTTATTATTAATAATTAGTAACTAATTAATTTTCAGTTTTAAATTGACTTAAAATCTAGTGCAGTGCTTCTGAACAGATAAACGGGAATACATTTTCATGCCATTATATCTGTTACCATCTCCTGGCTTCACCGACTGTAATACCATGGTGCAAAATGGACCTGTGTTGGGTGCTAAACAAAATTTTAATAGTAACTGATAAAGAAAAAAAAACAACTATTATTACTAGTAATACTTAGCTATCAAGGCTAATGTTACAAATTAAAAATTTCCTCAATATAAATCAAAACATAATTGGTATATTTAACAACTACCTCCTAACCTATCTTCTCAGCCACTCTTATTAAATATTATTCTGATCTTAAGGTAAGAGACAGAGTCTTTATTCAGAGCAAAAGTTCTCAAATTTTAGTGTGTTTAAGGGTTACTCGGGAAACTTGTTTTACAGATTTCTGGGCTGTATTCCCAGGTGTTCTGGGTCAGCCGGGCTGAAGGAGGGCATGAAAATCTGAACTTCTAGTGATACTAATGCTGCTTTGACTGTAACACTGGCTAGAGTAAGTTATCAATAAGTATTCATTCACAGCTGAATGGCATTTAAGCTTATAATTTTCACGGAGGTTTTGCTTCTTACAGGTATTGATATGTGGCATGTGAATTTTCATTCAGTCCTGAATAGTTTTAAGTTTCCATTGTAATAGGTTCTTTGACCCATAAGTTACTTAGAAAAAGAAGAGTTTTTAATTGATAAGTTCATGGCTATTTTACACAAAAGTTAATGGCAGCTTGGTCTAAGAGCTATGTGTCATGTTTTTATCAGTTTCCCTTGTATTCTTGAGAAGAATGTACATTCGCTAAGTCTAGGATCAGAGAGGCCACACATTAAACATGATGACAAATAAGAAAGATGCTGAAAGGAATAAATGAAGAATTTCCCATATTTAAACCAAAAACTAATTTCTGGTAACATCTTACCTTAAACTGTATGTATTTCAGTAGGTTCTTCTCCTTGGCAAATGCAGTGATATATTCCTGGAGGTGGCTGTGGTGCATGAAGTTGGGGAAGTGGTCAGGAAATGGGAAGTCCGGGAAACACATCATCTCTTTAGAAGAGTTTGTGAAGACCGAGCGGTAGATGCTGGCCCTGCCCTCTTCTGCGTGGTCCTGCGAATGCACAGTTTCAAAGGGAAGAGGGTTTGTAAATGTCTGTGCTTACCAAGGTCAGGGCTGGTTCCAAATAACCATCATTTGTTCTGAGTTGCTCTTACCCACAAATAAATTCAGTAAGACAAGGCATAAATTAACCTCACTTAAATAATTTGATGCTAATCAAAGGAACTTAGAGTATGGAAGGATATAGCTTTCTTAACTTCTTTTCTAAAGGAAACAAATTTCAGATTTCATTGTGTCCCTGTAGGATGTAAATAGAATCATTTTATTCCTGTAAACCTTTAAGTGTAATGATGGGTATTTCCCTAAAATTTAACCTTGCATGATTTCCATGTGTGAACTCATGGAGATGGGTAAACAAAATGTGGTATTATACACACAGTGGAATATTATGCAGCCTTAAAAAGAAAAAATTCTGATACAAGCTCTGATACAGTTTACCTTTGAGGATGTTATGCTAAATGAAACATGCTCATCACAAAAAGACAAACCCCGTGTGAGTCCTCTAATGTGAGATGCTCAGAGTCACCAACCCCTGGGGACAGAGGAATGGCGATTGCTTGGGGGAGGGAGAATGGGAAGTTAGCATTTAGTTGGCAGAGTTTGGGAAGATTTTTCAAAGTCCTAGAGATGGATGATGGTGTTATTTTACAATGAATGAGCTTAATGCCCAGACCTGTATGCTTTAAAATGGCTAAATGGTAAATCTTTACTGTCTTATATTTACTACAATAAAAAAATCTCCTTTAACATATTATGAAGTTGTTCCAGTGGATCAAATCATATTTTCTTATGTACCTAGGACAGAGAGAACTTTGGTTATGTTCAGAATAGTGTTTTTCAAATATTTTTGACCACAATCATAATTAGTAACATATTTTATATTGCACCTCAGTACAGACACACACACAGACACACAGACACACACACACACACACACACACACACATACACAATGGAAACAATTTTTATGAAAGAAATCATATTCAGATACTTGTGTTGCACTCTGATATTTTCTGTCCATTCCATTTAAAAGCACAGATTGATTCATTAATTTATTCACAGCCCACCGTTGGATTATAATCTCCAGTTCGAAAAGCACTGGCTTTAGGGAAATGGAGGGTTGAAGTTCAGAGGACTGGGTAAGGAGAAAGGGGAGTAAAGGCGGATGGGGGTGATGGCAAATCACTTGAATCCTAAACTTCATTCTTCAGGCTGGAATCTGGGGATCGACATGACCTCACAGCGGACAGGTTGCCGGGGATGCCGAGAGCAGAGCCTGTGTGAAATCAGAAGCTGAGCTGGGTCAGGGAGGTTGACACTGGGCCAGAAGCAGTGCTTGCAGAGAGGACGACCTCAGCTCTCCGGGGCCTACCAGTCTGAACTGGACATAGCTGTTCCCACGTGCTCCCACCTGGGGTGTGGAAATTGTCTGGGATTCTTCAGGGTGGTTTACCAGACTTGCCACGGAGGGGCTGAGTGACATTTCAGGAGAGCTGCAGAGACCACATGGGTCAGGGGCTGCGGTTTCTCTCAGGTTCCCAAAGACCCATGATTACTGAGAAAGGAGCTGTAGCACCCGTCAAACACATCATTTGTGACTTGCTCTGTTTTTTGAACTTAATGCCATAGACATCTAACTGGTCTCTCAGTGTTACAGTGTATGTCAGAGCCCCATTTATAGATTCTTTAAGTTGATCATATAGGCAGTTCATAAGAGAATGGCTATAGAGTTCATAATTGCATTTGCAAGTACAAATTTGGGGGGAACTGGGCAACAAGGTGCCAAAGCCTGCCGACCTATGGAAGCAGCTTTATTTTTTCTGATTGCGGCAGTAACCCAGACTTCTGATGAAACTCGACAGATTAAGTGTACCCATTTAACTCTTCTTTATCTTAAAATCTCGCCAGAATGACTGTAAGTTTATCAGAGGTGTATCAACCCACAAGGGGAAAAGAGAGGGAAAGGTGAAAGCAAGCAAGAGATGGAATAGTGTTTGGGAGGATAGAACAGGTGGGTAAGCGGCTCACACAGGCGTGAGAGTGACAACGGGCCTTGTGATGGAAGAAAGCCAAGCACTAAACCAGATCTGATCCAATGGGAACCCGGGTCATGTGATGTCATAAGTCATTCAGGGGCTGTAGTCTCCTACTTCACAGGGATGATTCCTCAGGGAACGACTGGATGGTACGCTCTGATGGTCTAAAACGAGGGAATGAGCTAAATCGTAGGCAGGTAAGGGCCCCAGAAACAGGGTCACCCCAGCGACAGCAGCGTGTCTGGCCTGGGCGAGCAGAGGAAGGTGATATGGAAGGATGTCTTTAGAAGATGGTTCAGAGTTGGACGCAGCTGGCGGGATGCCTGGTGGGTTTAAGTTTATCAAGAGGAGAGTCACAGTTCTGTGGGAGTGCGTGGGGGATGCATTAGAGACACTATCTGTAAAGGTACGCAAACTCAAGTCCCCTTGTTTTTTCAGTTTCTGGAGTCTGATGGCTTCTTCCCCCACCTCCAAGGTCTCAGCAGAGCATCTTCAGATCCCTGTCTGCTGAGGTGACCACATTGCCTTTCTCTTCTGTTTCTGAGTGTCCCCCTGCCCTTATGTCCCTCTTAAGGGTAGATGTTAGGCATTTGGGACCCACCCAGACAGTCCAAAAGAATTTCACCATGTCAAGATTCTTGATCATAAACTACAAATATCCATTTTTCTCATTAGGAACATCTACAGGTTTCAGGGATTAGGACCTGATACCTTTTGGGGGCATTTTTCTATTGCTCAGCCTGCCACAGTCCACCATTGGCCCTGAAGCCTCACATCTGTTTCCAGTGAAAGATGCATGCACCGCACCCCAACGTCCAGAACCCCAATTTACTGCATCACCAGCTCAAAAGCCCCATATCTCATCACCTGAATTATCTAAGTCAGGTGTGGATGAGACCCTGGGCAGGATCCATCCCGAAAGAAAGTTCCTCTCCATCCACGAGCCTGTGAAACTAAAACACCAGTTGTCTTCTTCCAAAATACGACGGGGCAGGCAGAGGACTCCATTTAGTGATATTCTCCTTCTGAAAGGGAACGTGGAAGGCAGGAGCCCCCAGCCAGGCACCCTGAGGTCCAGCCTGTAAACCGCATCGGGTTTCGAGGCCTGAGGGCAGCAGACTGAGTCCTAGGGCTTCAGCCCCGCGGCTGGTCTTCCTCTTGTCTTCAGGGCAGTAACGCTTGTTTGCAGCCCAGTGGTTTCAGTCTGTGGTGCCAGGTTCAAAGTTTAAAGCCTCCCAGTCAGTATCTGCCTCAGCAATGTTTGCAAAGTAAGTTTGAATACGGAGGTGGGTAAGATCGCCGAGTGGAGGACCTGCCGGCTCAGCAGACCACCTGCAGGCAGGGCACCCGGCGGCACCAAGGGCTTACGAGCTCAGGCTGGAGAGACAGGCCCCTTGGACTGCGGTCTTGTCTTCACCATTTACCAATTGTTTTCCTTTTTTTATTAAGCTTCAGATTCATTTGTAAAAGGGGCAACCTCATACCTGGCTTGGAGAATTATTATGCAGATTAAATGGGGGAATGTGTTTGGCATATAGAAAGTGCTCAAGAAGCATTGCCAGGGCGCTGACTTGAAGCCCTGTTAACATGTTCCAGGGACACCAGGCTCCATGGCATTACACAAGCTGCCTGGAGTCCAAGGGTTCCTGGCAGCCTAGAGAATATTCCTGTGAATGCTTCTCGTCTTTAAACGTTTAATGGGCTGTCAGAGGGTCTCCTTAAACACAAGCTTATTACATAAGATATAATACTAAATTTTCATTAGAGGAGGAAATGGTGGCTTAAAAGGGGTATTGATCTTCCTAACTTTGCCTATATGTTAAGGGGCTACCAGAAGACCCGGAAGAAGACAGGTGGAAGTAGGCTCAGCCAGGAGGTGTTCCTAAGGATGGAGATGCTGGCGGGGGAAGCCCCACAGCTGGGGAGCCTGCCAGGCAACCCCAGGAGTGGTAGAAGGGTGTGTGGTGCATGCCCAGCGACAGGGTGTCTGTCATAAATGCCCGGACACAGGGGGCACTGAAGGGCTTCGGATCAGTGCGTCCACTCCAGGGCTCCTCCTGCGGCTGTCTTGCTAATTAGATGCTTTCTGCAAGTCTAAACGCAGTACCTGAGACCTTCAACCCATGGTCTGATCCCCTCAAAGGGCACCTCAACAGAAGAAGGGGGGAGCCGCAGGGCTTTGAGCGAGGAGCTCGCCTGGCTGTGCTATAGACTTGCGAGCCGGGCTCTGTCCCCAGGAACCCCCGAATGGTCTCTGGAGGTGGTCACCTCTGTGTCGCCCGTGGGCTCCTTGCTGCTCGGCTGATCCCGGATTCTCTTTCCAACCTGCTCCTGGGGCCCTGCCTGGCAGGCCCCCCAGCTACAAAGGCTGGGAACTGCCTGGCTGGCTGTGCCCCAGTAGCATGTTCCCACCCGCTTCCCACTCCCCCACAGGGATGGCCACTCACCGAGAACCTCCACAGCCCCCCGACGTCCTCACCCCTCTCGAAGCAGGTGGGCTCCAGGCCCTCCTCCAGGCAGCTGCGGATGGCAGCCAGGCCGCTGACACCAGCCCCCACGATGGCCACACGCTTCCCCATGTCACCTGTGGGAAGCCCAGACAGTGTGTCCAGCAGCCCTACTGCTGAAAACTCAGTTTTTCATCACTCTTTGGCTTAAGAAAAACAACTTTTGCACCAAGACAGCAACACTTAGAAAAAATAGATCAGAACCCCTCTTAGTCATCTAATGAATTTTCCATTGCTGATTCCTGAAAGAATGTTTTTTCTCCCCTGCAAAGCAGCCAATTGTTCACAGTCTGCTTTCCAAAAGCAAAGAATCTGAGTGGACTTTTGTCCTTTACTTTCTACCAGACAGTGAATAGAGAAAGAAAAGGAACTTCACAACTGAAAAACATGTACACACGCCTAGCCCCACGCGTGTATGTATGCAGGAATGAGGCCGAAGAGTGTGTGTTTATGTGTGTGTACAACACGCATAACAAAAACACACCCCTTTCCACACCTGACAATGTTCTGCACCTTCTCGATTAAAAAGAAATGCCTCTTTATCTTGAAATGACTTCTTCCAGCCAGCTGCCACCCCCAACTTCCATTCTCTTAAAAAAAATTGCATTTTTTCATCTTTTCCTGTTCTTGACAGTATCTTCAGGCCCTCCTATTACTCCTCTCTGTCTGCTCTGTCCATCGGTCTTTTCTTTGTAGACAAAAACCACAGAGGTATGCAGAGAAGCAGGCTCGAAGATAGACTCAAGCTCCTTAATTCTCAGAGAAAAGCTCTTTTGTCCTGACTCATCGAGCCTCACTCTCCCCCTCCCGGCCCACCACCTCCCTCTCGGCCATTACCAGGGCCTCCCAGTGGGTCCCTACCTTTCTGCTGCCTTCCCTCCTGTGTGGGTAGGTCCTGTCTGGGTGCTGCGGACCGTGTGCACTAACGGTGCTTTCCCTGAACCAATACTGTGGAGGGGACATCTCTGGGAAGTGGGAGGGGCTGCCTTAAAGGGGCCTCATCTCGTGGTCCCTGGACAGTGACCTGCAGCACTCCCAGCCGCTGGTGGCTCAGTGCCAGTCCTGAGCCCAGCACCTGCTTCCCCTTCAGCCACGGGAAACCCAGCCCAGGGCTCTCACTCCTGCACATGTGGCCTGGGGGACAGGGCTTCTCCCAGGACCTGCTGCGGCTTTTGGCTCTGTTTCATTGTGTGTTACTTCGAAGTTTACCTATGTCACTCATTCCTGACCCTCTGGTGGGCTTCTCATCGTGGCCTTTGGACCTGTGGAACACTAGTGGCTTGATTGCTTAGCTGAGACATCCCAGCAGGGAGGCTTTTCTTCTCTTTCTCTTCCAGCCCTTTCTTTGACCTCTATGGGCAGAGGTTGGGATTTCTCAGATTTGTATTTCTTCAGTTCTGGGAACAGTGTGCAATCACGGAGAACATCAAATGCCATACATTGATTCATTAGTACCAGGCAAAATTATGTGGGAGATGAGACTAAATAATCTGCACTTCTCTGTCCTGAAATAAGCTGAAATTTCCTAAAAATTGTTACCTTACCAGCCATATTCCTGTATCGCCTAAAATTACAGCACTTTGATATTTCACCAGGGACAGAGTCCCCTCATCATACAGGTGATACTTTACACAAACCACACGCGTTTAATTCTGGGGCAGTTGCCTCCGCGTCTCTGCACATGAAATGCTTGTTGTAAAGCAAGGTGGCCGGGGAGTCAGCGAGACTGTGAATCTTGGCTCTGTCGCTTCCAGCTGTGTGACTTTGGGCGAACTATTCAGGTTCTTCAGTCACAGGTTTCTTCACTGATAAATGGGGACATGACACCCTATTTGTCTTACTCTGGCAAGGAGTTGAGGGTATGTTGTGTGTACACACATAAATGCACACACATAGTCACACACTTACACGCATATGCAAACCCAGCCCATAGTTGGCAATTACCAAATGGTATATGTGGGTTGTTTGTAGAAAGAAAATTCTTTTTAAATCACAGGTTCATTAAATTTTCCAGGGCTGTGGCTCAGACCACATGATTTCATCTCCTCTCATCTCACGTCAGGCTCTTTTTTAGTTTTTCATGCTGCACAGACCACAGAGCAGGGAGAGGTCGGGTCGCTTTCCTCAGGAGGCGGGACGTTTCTCTGCCTTATTGCCGAAGGACGAAGGGGACACCCAGTTCCACCATCGCCTCTGATGCTGTCCACTCCTGCAGGAGGCGAGAGGGCTGCTCCCCGCTCCCACCTTCATGGGAATATGTTCCCTCAGCGGCAGATGTATTTCCTCACCCCCTTTCTCTGCTGCTTTTCCTGCTGCAGCTTTCTGTGAAGCCCTGTTTCACTTTCCAGTCACACACCTGGTCGGGGAGGCCGCCCCTGCTTCGTGCCCACCCTCCTCACTCTCTGAGGCTGGGGCAGGCCCAGGCGGACAGAGCACAGGGACACTTGAGCCAGAGGGTGGGGCGCCTCCGGGGGATGGTTTGGGTGGGTCCTGAGTTACTCTTAACTGCCTGTCCCTGTCCCTGGGCAGCTCCCCTCCTGGGGCCTGTAGCTTGGAGGCCCAGGCATCAGGTGGGAGCTTCCTGGAGTTGAGCACTGACATGCGGCTCTCTGGCCACCAGTCCTTGTCTGTCCCTGTCCCTCTACTGCACAGAAGAGGCACCTGTGCAGGCTTGCAAAGAGTCGCCCCCGCCGTATGCACCCAGTGGATCCGCTGCCCCCTTCCAGGCACGGGTTTTGATCTGGGGTCCACAGACTTCTGCAAAGGGCCAGAGGGCTGGCATTTTAGCTTTGTGACCTCACTGTTCATGGCAGCTGCTCGCCTCTGCTTTTGTCGCGGGAAAACAGCCATTGACAATATGTGAATCAGTGCGCAAGGCTGTGTTCCAATAAAACTTATTTAAAGACACTGAAATTTGTATTTCCTACAATTTTCATGTTATAAAATATTATTCTTCTATGGATTTTTCCCCCCAATTATCTGAAATGTAAAAGTCACTCTTGGCTTGCAAGTTGTACAAAAACAAACAGGGCCAGATTTGGCCACAGGTCTATGCCTTCCTTAGAGAGGACCTGTTATTTCAGAGAACCGCTGTTCCCGGGCTCGAGTCTTCTGTGAGGCCATCTTAATGCAAGGCTCCCAAGTATGAGAAAATAGTCATGTTTTCAAGGAATTCCCTAGAGAATAGGATTTCCAAACGATCGTGCCTCTTGTAAATTCACTTTGCCCGGCCTGGCGGACACTCCTACCCACTATGAATCAAGGGTAGGGGCGGGATTACCCTCTGTGTGGTGGAGGCATGCCTGGGACTCTGCACAACGCTCTCCAGGACCTTCACATGATAGGTCTCGCCTGCCCTCTTATCTCCTCTTGTGCACAGATCATGAATCTCAGTGGGCGGCAGCAAGGACCACAAATGATATAAAGTCAGAGTTTAAAAGTCCAACAAAATGGAGGTACATCTGAGTCAAACAAGCCCTTAGCTGACAAGTCCTACTCTTAGGGAAAGTCCCTCGAGATCCCTGGAATCCAGGGTGCTGTCTGGATCCTGCTTTATGGGACCACTGGCTTCTATCACCGAGCATTCATATGTAAACGTGCGTGAGTTAACGGAAGCAGAGCTAACGTTCTAGTTCCAGACATGTTCACGTCCCAGGCAGGGTGCCGTCGAAGGGCAAATGTAGGTGACAGGGAACAATTTACAAGGACAGCAGTCTAGTCCAGGCGGCTCCCTTCTGCTTCTCAGCAGAAACAGCAGAAGGCTCCCTTGATTCCGCTCTGCCGGGCGCTCACTCCCTAAGCTCACTCGCACTTGCTCGCTTGCTGTGCATGTAGAAATGTTGCAGATAAGGAAGCAGAAAGATACATATCGCTCCCCTTGCCTTTGTTCAGGGCTCAGACCTTGGGAGATGACTCCCCTCTGAGCCTGCCAGTGTGAAATAAACCTCAGCACTCCAAGACCTCCGGGTGCTGCTTGGTTCTTCCGTCAGCGACCAAGCCCCGGTTTTTCAAGTTTTTCTGTAACACAGGGAAGATTTTTTTCCTTTGCTAGAGAAGTGTTTGGCACTTACACAGAAAAGGCATCCATCTCACAGGTGGCCCATTATCTGAATTATCCCGAGAAGGTAACTAAGTGACTTACACCTGGCAGCTGCCCAAGTGGGGCAGAGCTAAGGAGGGGTGATCTGCCTGCGGCACCCAGGGGTGGAGGAATTAAGTCAGGCTCTGCGGAAAGCAATAAAGATCCAGGCAGCAGAGCTAAGAAGAGCCTGAGTCCAAAGGGCAGGAGTGGGGACCCAGGAGACAAATAGGTTCAGAGACAGGTGCAAATGGAAGAAAACAGAAAGGGGTCATGAGCAAGTGGAGAAGGTCCTGGAAGACAGTACTAGTGAGTGAAATGTCTATGTACTGCTTCCCCTGGCCAGTCGGTGTGTGTGCTGTTCTGGCTGCGAGAGGCCAGGAGGAAGCCCCGCGTGGCAAGGGTCTGTGTGATGGACACATCACAGACAAACCAAACTAGCTGCTAAATACATAAAGCAAACAACTATGGATCCAAGACAACTTGATTTAAAAATGCAGACAAATTCATTGGAAATTGTCAAAATAACTGTTCAAATTGTTATCTTCTAATAAAAAAGTAGACAGGTGAGGGCACAGAGGGACTGAATATCACAGATCAGTAATTAGACTACATATAGTGTGTGTACTATGTACATAAATGTGCATGCATCTTTGCAAGAGGGTATTCACATTTAGCAAAGTATATCCATGAAACACAAACCTTAATCAGGCCCTGGACATCAAATAAAGCCTTAACACATTTTTTTAAAGAAGTGACTTTTACAGGCCTTATTGCCTGTGAATGAGCCAATAATTACATACTTAAATGGTTCTTTTATCCTGGGTTATCCTGCAAAACAGAGTTTGACAGTTTCCTCAAAGGGTGTGCTTTCCAAATAAGCCATCTTGGAGTGAGTCTCTGAGTCTGAGATTGACTCACAATCTGAGATGACCGAGAACCCATGGGTAAGGAAGGGGTCAGAGCGTGCTTGTGGGTCAGAAGCGCGCTGTCCTGCGCGACGGCTTCTGTTTTCTCTGTGCTGGGGCAGAGTCATCTGTAGAGAGCGGGTGGGGAAGGGGTGGAGGAGGAGACCCCAGGGGAGGCTGAGGCGGGAACGAGCTGAGGCTGGGCCCCAGGGTCTAGTTGGGTCCAGGAGCATGAATGTCTGACCACGTTTATGATGTTGTAAGAAACTGAAATATGACTTGCTGAAGGCAGTTGAAGGATCCATTTACAACATGTATAAATATTGGTCATAACAAAAACCATCAAGAGATAATGAACGTGGCAGTGTCTTTTTATTTCAAACCATAAAATAAAATCTCAGAACTGGGTATGCATGAACGCAGGCCTGTTAGGAAACAGACGTTCCCCAAAGCCTGATCTAATTTGCCCACCTTACGAAATGCCGTCTCCCCACGACTCTCCCTCCCCGTAAAGCCAGTTTGATACAGTGACTGACCTGCCCAGAGCCAGGCCTGCAGGGTGGAGACCTTGGTGAGCTGGTGACTGGCTCTGGAAAGGAGAGTCACCGGCTCCTCCTCCCAGTGGGACGCCTGCCACGTTATCTGACAAACAGCTGCGGCAACAGGACATTGCCGACCCACATAGGAGAGGGCTCCGGCCTAGAGTTTCCCCAGCGGGCCATCCAGCGATTCTGAGAAGGGCGATGCTCTTACGGGGCCTCCTAGGAGGCAAAAAGCAGCGCTGTGTCCACACCAAGGGGCCTCTTCTGGTTTCACACCCTGGGCACGTGCAGGGCAAAGGGGCTGCCCGGGACAGCTTGTTCTCCGCCTGCTGCCGCCCCGCTTCATTCTTCCCCACAGCACGTCCCACTGGCCCACGTGACCCCTCTCTTCTTTATTTACTGTCAGTTCCCCTACTGAGCCACGTGCTGCACAGAGGCACCCTTCCTCTCAATGTTATTTGCTGCTGTGCCCCCAGCACCCAGGACAGCGTCTGACTCACCATGACTGAAAACCCTAGGAAGTCTCCTCTTTGCCCCCCACCCTGCCCCGGCTCTGCCCGAGAGTCCGTTTGTGCCCCATCCATCGGGAGGCTGATTTAGGATCTGGGGTTTGGTTCTGTCCAGGGCTGGAGGAAGAGTAAGCCAAGTGAGGCTTTGGAAGTTTTTAGGGGATGAATCCTATCATCCTGTGCTGGCACGGAGGCCGCAGTGCCCCTCGGAAAGGCCTCCACTAACGCAGCAAGTCCATTTCCCTACAGTTGCCTAGGACACATCTGCGGATGGTGGGAAATCATAAGGGTCTGAGGCACAGGTGTGCCACTTCACGGTGAGCCTTGGTTTCCCCAGTGCAGAGCAGTAATGATCATAGTACCTACCTCGCGGCGATGTCCCGGGATGACACACGGTCATGTGACAACTGGGTGCCCATGGCTCTCAGTGTGGAGCATGTTGGCATCTCCACCGGGTTACCTGACACTGCTCCAAGGAGGCACACGCATTGCCTCTGGTCCCCCCAGTGTCCGCAAGACAGATGCTATCTTCTCTGTTTTCTAAACGAGCAATAAAACTTGGAGGAGGCTAAGTGACTCTATAGGCCACACGGTCATGTGCAGTCTGAGCATGCTGGGCACAGACACTCATGTTAACCAGGCTGGCCCGGTAGGTGAAGCCACGCTGGCTCCTCATTTCATGCGGGCACAAGCTGCGGGGACGTGCCGATGGCTCTGCGGGCTCTGTCTCCCTCCTGTGGCTGGCCGCCCAGAGCTGCCCCTTCGTCCTGCCTGCAGCGTGGCCGGTTGGACCAGTTTTCCTCCACTGCTGGGAACTGGCACCAAAATTACAGCAATTCTGCAAGTTCTTAGAGAAAGAGCAGAGGAGAGGGGATCCACTTGGCAGCTGGGTGTCCCTCGGGCTCCTGGGACCGTGGACCTCGAGGGAATGCCTGGCGGCTGTTGCACTGAGTTGTTTTACAGTGTGTCACTGCTCATGAGGACTGAGAAATCCAAATGTCCCCCAGTTTCTAAGACTAACCTGGAGCTGATAGGCAAATACATAACTGAACAAAAATAGAATGAGTGAGTAAAGGGAGGCAAGGGGTCTTTCCAAACTGTCTGTGGTTAGCTGTTCCTGCATTCACGTCCCATGTCTGACTGTCCTGCTGGTGAGGAGAGAGACTTCAGTCCCATCCTACAGATGCATATTTGACATTCTCTT